TTGCAGCCTTCAGTGGGATCCCAGCTCACTGCCGCACGTGATGCCATTTTGAATGCTCTTGCAAACGAGCCATGCATGCTCTCACGCCTTTCTACCTCCCAGGAGGCACGTGATGCCATGATGTTGTTAAGCCCCAGCCATACCCAGCTTGCTCGGATACCTTCTCATGCGTGGGCTCACGGTGTTCCTCCAGGTGCTCTGTCAGGTGCTCCGTCAGGTGCTCCGTCAGGTGCTCTCTCAGGTGTTTCTTTAGGCGTTCCTTCAGTTTCTCTGTCAGGTGCTCCCTCAGGTGCTCCTCCAAGCGCTCCTTCAGTTGCTCCTTCGGGTGACCGTTCAGGTACCGTCTCAGTCGCGCTCTCAGGCACTCTCTCAGGTGCAGCTTCAGGTGCCCTTTCAGGTGAACCGTCAGGATCTGCAGCTTTATTGCGCTGGCTTTCCGAGGGTGGAACCACTACTATCATCCGCTCTGACGGGAAAGCCCACTCCGATCCACAGGAGACACCTGGAGACCGCCAAGCGAGTGGGGTGGCACGGCGGATAAGGTCGCTTCCGGGAGACAGGCCCTCGAATTTTCCGATAGACCTCCTCCGTCCACTTGAGTCGGACCCTGTGGTCCTCCTGCCTCTGCGAGACGAAGGGCGGCTGATGCACCTGCAGGTGGAACAGAGCAGACAAACGGAGCAGACAGGACAAATGGAGCAGACAAGACAAATGGAGCAGACAAGACAAATGGAGCAGAGCAGACAAATGGAGCAGAGCAGACAAACGGAGCAGGCGAGGCAGCGTGTCTACAGGGGTGAAACCTCATCTGGTCATTCCAGGCAATCCCTGCCACTTTTCGTCTCCAACAATAGTCCCTCGGGTGAAACAAACGGACTTGCTGGCAAATACATGACACATAACAGACTCCATGATAGCGGTTCCGATGGAGGGGAATTTCCAGATGGAAAGAGCAGGGCAGGTGAAACGAGCAGAGCAGGAGAGTACCCAGGAGTTGAGCGCCAAATTGTGGGTCGAGTGCTAACCTGTGGGCACAGCGCCTCTGGGAGCAGTGCTGGCACGGTTGCTGCGAGGGGTGCTGTCAGGGATGTGTGCGCAGATTGTTCCAACATGCAGCAGCAGCAGCAGCAGCAGCAGCAGCAGCAGCAGCAGCATGACGCGAATATCAGTGTGGGTGGGAGTGCGAACAGGTCAGCTACCCCCCTTCGCCTGTGTGATTGGGACGACCATGATGTTGATGCTGCTACATCTCATGCTCCAAATGCTTCTCTTTCTCCTGCTCCTGTGTCTGCTCCTGCGGCTGCTGCTGATCCTGCTCCTGTTCCTGTTTCTGCGCCTGCTACTGTTCCTGCTGCTGGTGCTGCTACTGTTCCTGCTGCTGGTGCTGCTGGTCGTGATAATTTTCATGCTGGTGGCTCTGGTACTGCTGCAGCTGCACCTGTTGCTTCTGAAGAGAATGTCGTGCAAACAGGAGAAGGTGCTGATGTGGCAGATTGTGTGACACGTGGCGTTCAAGGAGGAAGACAAATCGGAAGAGGCAGACAGAAATTAGCATCGGGCGTCAAGATCGAGCCTGAGCCTGCACTTCCCCTCGGTTCCTTATCTGCCAGCAGCGCCACTTTCGCCAGCAGCGCCACTTTCGCCAGCAGTGCCACTTTCGCCAGCAGCGCCACTTTCGCCAGCAGTGCCACTTTCGCCAGCAGCGCCACTTTCGCCAGCACTGGCGCTTTCACCAGCAGTGTTGCCTTTGCCAGCAGTGGCGCTGTTGCCACCAATGCTCGCCTCCCTGAGATGTCTGCTGCAGGCAGTGGGTCCCCTGCGCAGCAATCCGTGCAGAGTCTTGAGTCGGCTCAAAGGCCACCTGCGCAGCAATCCGTGCAGAGTCTTGAGTCGGCTCAAAGGCCACCTGCGCAGCAATCCGTGCAGAGTCTTGAGTCGGCTCAAAGGCCACCTGCGCAGCAATCCGTGCAGAGTCTTGAGTCGGCTCAAAGGCCACCTGCGCAGCAATTCGCGTGGTCCCCTTCTTTGCGCTGCACTCCCCGGCTTGCAAACGTTGCAGCAGCAGGCGGTGCTGCAGGATCAGGGGCGGGCGCAGCAGGTGCTGCAAGCACCGCAGGAGCAGCAGGAGCAGCAGCAACAGCAGGATTCGTGGAGGCTGCAGAAACACGAGGAGGAGGAGGAGGAAGAGGAGGAGGAGGAGGAGGAGGAGGAGGAGGAGGAGGAGGAGGAGGAGGAGGAGGAGGAGGAGGAGGAGGAGGAGGAGGAGGAGGAGGGGGAGGAGGAGGAGGAGGAGGAGGAAGAGGAAGAGAAGGAGGAGGAGGAGGAGGAGGAGGAGGAGGAGGAGGAGGAGGAGGAGGAGGAGGAGGAGGAGGAGGAGGAGGAGGAGGAGGAGGAGGAGGAGGAGGAGGAGGAGGAGGAGGAGGAGGAGGAGGAGGAGGAGGAGGAGGAGGAGGAGGAGGAGGAGGAGGAGGAGGAGGAGGAGGAGGGGGTGGGTTATTAACAGGAGCAGCAAGAGCAACAGCAACACCAACAACAAAAACAGCCCCAGAACCAGAATCAGTAGCAACAGGAGCAATGGAGCAGCAACCACAGGAGGTAGACACATTTTTTTATGCATCAAGACCGTCCGCAAGAATAAGAGGCAGCGTGGGATTGCAAGGCAGTGTGGGAATGGGGGCCAGTGCGCAAGTGGGAATGGGGGGCAGTGCGCAAGTGGGAATGGGGGCCAGTGCGCAAGTGGGAATGGGGGCCAGTGCGCAAGTGGGAATGGGGGCCAGTGCGGAAGGGAGCGGCAGTGCGAGGATGAGGGGCAGTGCAGCAGCCCATGGCACGCCATGGCAACGCCTCCACTCGTGCTTCTCCACCACCTCCCCTCTGCACACCCTCCTCTCCCCGCAACCACCCCCGCCCCAACCCCCCATGCCCCAACCCCCTGCACCCCTACCTCCTGCGTCCCACCCTCTTGCTGCCCACCTTCCCGGGTCCCACCTTCCCGGGTCCCACCTTCCCGGGTCCCACCTTCCCGGGTCCCACCTTCCCGCGTCCCACCTTCCCGGGTCCCACCTTCCCGCGTCCCACCTTCCCGGGTCCCACCCTCCCGCTGTTGATCCAGCCTCTGTCTCCCAAGCCAACCACCCTTCTTCCAACCATCCTACCGCCACCCACCAACCCGTCACCCACCCTCCCGCCAACAACTCTCCTGCCAACCACCCGCCCTCCAACCACCCTCGCACCAGCCACCCGCCCGCCAACCACTCATCTTCTCTCATAAAATCATCTGCCTCCCCCGCTGCTGTGGTGCCACCTTCTCTGCTCGGTTCCCTCTCTGCTTCTGCCATAATGGCTGTTGCGGCTGCTGCTGTTGCCGCTTCTGCTGCTGCTGCCTCTCCTTCCTCTGCCCCTGACCTCTGTCTCCCTCCTCCTTCCCGCCCCCCTCCTCCTCCCCCTCCTCGCCTCCCAGCCGTGCCACATGCCCTCTCCTCCTCTCTTCCGTGTACCACTTCCCATCTTCCTCCTCAGCCTCCTCTCAGCCTCTCCCCTCTCCTCCACACAGCCCCAAATCACACGGCATTCTCCACCTCCAATCCTGCTCGCCCTGCCATCCCTGCTTCTTCCCATTTTCCAGGATCCATTGCTGCAGCCATGCCAGCTCCAGAAACTGATGCCCCTGTTCCTGCTGCTGCCTCTGCTGCTGCTCCTGCTGCTGCATCTGCTGCGGCCTCTGTAGCTGCTGGTACTGTCTGTGCGTCTGCTAGCCATGCCAACACCGTCTCACCGCAGCACCTCACCCCACCAGCTCGCCAACATGCCTCGCCGTTAACTCCTACACCCCCTGCTGTGCCACCACTGCTAACACCTGCCACAACCCCTTCACCACTGCAAACACCCACTGCACCCCCGGCTGTAGCACCACTGCAAAGACCTGCCACAACCCCCGCTGTAGCACCAGCAGCAGCACTACCAGGTGTCGCCCTCCCAGTGGCCATTCTGCTAAGAGTAGCCTGTGTGATTGACAGCATACGAGCCCTGCTGGCCAACGCCGCACCCACCACTCCTTCCCCCTCCCTTCCGCTCTCACCCTCTCCCGCTTCTCATTTCCCCCCTGCTGCACCCACCCTTGCTGCCTCATCTGCTGTCACAGCTTTTCCTGTTTCTGCTGCTAGTGCTGCTGCTCCTGCTTCCACTCCTGCTGCTGCCACTGCCAGTGATTCTGCTGCTGCTGCTGCTGCTGCTGCTACTGCTGCTAATGATTCTGCTGCTTATGCCACTTTTACTGGTCTCTCTCCTGCTGCAGCGACAACCCCCTCGCAGTCCCCGGCAGCAGCAGCCCAGCATCAGCGGCAATTGATGCAGTCAACGCAGCCAACACAGACAATGCAGTCAACTCAGTCAATGCAATTAACGCAGCTAACGCAGATGATGCAGTCAATGCAGTCAATGCAGCCAACGCAGACAATGCAGGAGAAGTCAGCTACACATATTCTTCAACAGGGAACGCCAGAGAATCACCTGCAGCAGCAACAGAAATCGCAGCAGCAACAGCAATTGCAGCAGCAACAGCAATCGCAGAAGCAACAGCTATCGCAGCTGCAACAGCAATCGCAGCAGCAACAGCAATCGCAGCTGCAACAGCAATCACAGCAGCAACAGCAATCACAGCCATGCCAGCAATTGTTGGTACGGAAGCAACTAGAAACCCAGGCAGGTCAGCAGGCAAGGCAGCACGTGGCAAGACCACCACAGCAGCTGTCAGGCGCCTCTGAGTTGTCTCACAGTGTTACTCAGCGAGCAACCCAGCCATCCCAGCTAACCCAGCAGCAGCAGCAGCCGCATCATCAGCAGCAGCAGCAGCAAGAGCTATGGCGGTACTTAGAGCAGCATTTGGGGCGGAAGTTAGGGCAGAAGTTGGTGCAACAGCTGCAGGATCAGTTGGGGCAGCATCACGGTCAGCAGGTAGAGGCACAGGCAGTTCAGCAGCAGGCAAAGCAGCACGTGGCAGGGCAACCACAGCAGCTGTCAGGTGCTTCTGATTTTTCTCACGACGAGACTCAGCAGTCAACTCAGCCGACACAGGTATCCCAGCAGCAGCAGCAGCAGCAGCAGCAGCAGCAGCAGCAGCAGCAAGAGCTATGGCGGTACCTGGAGAAGCATTTGGGGCACGATTTAGGGCAGAAGTTGGTTCAAGAGCTGCAGGACCAGTTGGGACAACTTCTGGGTCAGCAGTTAGAGACCCAGGCAGGTCAGCAGCAGGCGAGGCAGCACGTGGCAGGACCACCACAGCAGCCGTCAGAGGCTATTGACTTGGCTCAAGGTGTGACTCAGCAGTCACCTCAGAATACCCAACCAGCCCGGCCGCAGCAAGCGTTATCGCAGCAGCTAGAGCAGCAGTTGGTGCAGCAATTAGGGCAGAAGTTGGCGCAGCAGTTGGGGCAGCATCTTGGTCAGCAGTTGGACGCACAGCAGCCCATGGCAAGGCCACCACAACAGCCGTCAGGCGCTTCTGAGCTGCCCCCGGGTGTGACTCAGCAGTCAACCCGGCAAACACAGCAAAGCCGGCAGCAGCAAGAGCTGTGGCAGCAGTTGGAGCAGCAATTGAGGAAACGGTTGGGACAGAATCTGGGGCAGCAGCTACGAATTACCGAGCAGAAGCAGGCAGAGTAGCAAGTGGGTGAACAGGCAGGGCAGCAGATGGATCAGCAGGTGTGGCAGCAGCAGAGGTGTGGCTCCACTCTGGAGCACTGGAGGCTGGGGGAGGACGGCTCAGAGGCCGTCACCTCCTTGAACCTCCGCCTGTAGCGCCGCTCCGTGGCTGACCTTGCATGGTTCAGTGCAAGGTGCGGCAGCAGCAGGGGCGTGACTCGAGTGAGGAGCAAGGGAGGCAGAGGGAGGAAGGCTTGAAGCCGTCACCTCCTGGGACCTCCGCCTCTAGTGCTGCACCGTGCCTTCCTTCCTTCCTTGCCCCTCACATGGCTAAATGCATGCTGGTGCCGGCCGGTATGTCAACTGTGCAACACGTGTATGGATGCTATGCCGCCGCCGATAAGACGTGGTCAAGCCACTATGACACGTGGATGCTAATAAAACGTGGAAGAGCTGTTGATACGACGTGGATGGCGCACGGATAGGATGCGGATTATGCGTTGCTAATGCGGATCATGCGTTGCTGATGCGGATCATGCGTTGCTGATGCGGATCATGCGTTGCTGATGCAGAATCCGTTGATGATGAGGATAAGATATGGAACGAATGTGTTGGTGAAGCGAGGAGGTGAGTCGGCTAGGTTCTTAGTGTGAATTCCTTCTTTATCGGCGAAAATGGTGCCATTTATTTGAGTACATAATCATGTACAAGCGAAAATGTATACACTGTACAGCCATGCTTCTACATCAGCCATGTTTGTATTGATCACATTCTCCATGCACACACACAGCAGTCCCGGTTCGTCTGATGGCCACAAAGCAATCTATCATTTGCCCCCCATCTCCCTTAGCAAAGCAATCCACGGGGAGTATGAGGAAGGTGGGAGTGTAGCGGGCAGGGGGAATGAGCGAGGAGTGAGCGGGAGGAAGTCCAATGAGATGGGGCCTAGCGTGTGCAAAATTTCAAAAACAAGGGCCTAGCGTGTGCCAAATTTCAAGAACAAGGGCCTAGCAAGTGCAAAATTGGAAGAACAAGTGCCTAGCGTGTGCAAAATTACGAGAACAAGGGCCTAGCGTGTGCAAAAATTCAAGAACAAGGGCCTAGCGAGTGCAAAATTGCAAGAACAAGGGCCTAGCGTGTGCAAAATAGCAAGAACAAGGGCCTAGCATGTGCAAAATTTCAAGAACAAGGGCCTAGCCAGTGCGAAATTTCAACAAGGGCCTAGCGTGTGTAAAATTGCAAGAACATGGGCCTAGCGAGTCAAAATTGCAAGAACAAGGGCCTAGCGAGTGCAACATTGCAAGAACAAGGGCCTAGCGTGTGCAAAATAGCAAGAACAAGGGCCTAGCGTGTCCAAAATTTCAAGAACAAGGGCCTAGAGAGTGTGAAATTTCAACAAGGGCCTAGCGAGTGCAAAAAAGGAAGAACAAGGGCCTAGCGTGTGCAAAATTGCAAGAACAAGGACCTAGCGAGTGCAAAATTGGAAGAACAAGGGGCTAGCGTGTGCAAAATTGCAAGAACAAGGACCTAGCGTGTGCAAAATTTCAAAAACAAGGGCCTAGCGAGCGCAAAATTGGAAGAACAAGGGCCTAGCGTGTGCAAAATTGCAAGAACAAGGGCCTAGCGTGTGCAAAATTGGAAGACGAAGGGCCTAGCGTGTGCAACATTGCAAGAACAAGGGCCTAGCGAGTGCGCAATTTCAAGAACAAGAACCTAGCGTGTGCAAAATTGGAAGAACAAGGGCCTAGCGTGTGCAAAATTGCAAGAACAAGGGCCTAGCATGTGCAAAATATCAAGAACAAGGGCCTAGCGTGTGCAAAATTGCAAGAACAAGGGCCTAGCTTGTGCAAAATTGGAAGA